AGATCAGGCTTTAAGGCACGAAGTTCATCCCAAGACAAAATTGCTAAAGCAACGAAGAACTCAGCTAGCACGCTAGCTTTCGTGACGTCGGCATAAGTGGCATGGACTTCAAGATTGGGGTGTGAAAACATGCAGAATCATGTATAGGTACAGTATCAACCGACCACCTGCCAAGCAACATCAGACATTCACATAAACCTGTAACACTCACTGAGAATGTGACAAATACTCACGATTCCTGTCACAGTGAAATAGACAACTGTGGGGTTTCTGCGTCTCAATGATGCGAAGAGCCGACATCGAAGGTTCAACAAGCAAAGCACTATGAAAACTTGGCTGCCACAAACCAGTTATCCCTGGAGTCACTTTACCTAGATATTCCTCAGACATCCTCCGACCGAAAGGATCGATCAGCCATGTTTGCACAGTTGGTCTGCAAGTACAGTGAGCCCCCCAAAACATAGGGGTCGGCGGCACCTGGGCGTCAGCCCATTCTATCCGGCGATGTCGTGTCGCCATTGTCCCATATCAAACCTACCTTGCTATACGGAGACGCGCTCTTGCCACCGACCTGCATTTCTAAGATCACCCGGGCTCGTGTGGATTCGTTAAAAAGCATCAAAAACTGCGGGAAAATGATCAAACATGGCCACTGTTTATAGCCTCAAGGCCTCTATATGTAGACAATAAAGCATTGAACATGGAGACAAATGTCGAGGACAAACTTTGGTCGAGGATCATTAGCACCAGCAGAGTCTCAGCAGGAAAGGTGCAAATCCTTTGGTGTACGACTAGGCGCAAAGCATTGTGAAGTGTTTTTTTCAAAATGTATGTATACAGTTTATGAACAATGTTGCTCGTACTCTGGTGATTTCTAGCACCACCTGGGCTTATATATGGCTTCTTCAAGTATCAAATATCAGGACTTGGTAGTGGAAAACGTTTAAAAACTACTGTAATAATTGTGAATATGTTTCAGCCTAAATGCAGATAGCTTTAGAATAGAGAATGTTCAAAAATATAGTTTTCCAGCGTTTTCCACTACAAAGTCCTGATATTTGACGAAGCTGTGTGCGCGCCGCGCGCACGCGCGTGCGTGTGCGTTCGTGTGCGTGCAGGTGCGTGTGCAGGTGTGCATGTGCATACGTGTGTTTGTAGTTGAAGTTGCCAGGCTTTTTACTTCAGACCCTCATGCGCACCCCTGTGTGGAAGTGTGTATGCGCAGGCGTACGAAGCTGTGCTACTTGTCGCATTTTGCAACGCGAAGAGCCTGCGCACGCACGCACTCCCCCTGAGGGCATCGCCGGTTGGCGAAGCCTGTCAGTAAGGGTGGGGCTGCTTATACACTTTCCAAAAGGCCTCAGGAGGCTGGGAATGGCTCACTTTTTCGACAAATTGCCATGTCACTGGTCGGTCCAGTGAAGGCCTCATTCGAGGTCCGGAAAAAGGCAATTCGAGGCGTGGATCGCCCCATGGTCTCGCGCGTGGACGCATGGTTGGAGGCGTCTCAGCGCTCCAATCAGCATCAGTCTCAACAAAAATTGGGGCGTCGAAATGAGCGTGAGGCTTGGCATTGAAAAGATACATGGCAAGTTGCAACAACTTCATGTTCCCGTAGCTTGGGACCCGAACTAAAGCTTTAGAAAGAAGTCAATCCAGAAGCACTGAGAATTAGCTTTTCATAATGTTTTCAACAAGGCCACCGCTCGTAGACAGCATTCGCCAGGGATTGGGGGCACTTGTGGCCCGAATCCGCGTAGAAACTAAGCACTGGGTCCCAGTCCTTAAGACATGGGGCCAGCTAATCACCATTGCTGAGAAAGTGTTGCCGCTAGCCAAGTCCTGGATATGGCAGTGCATGTGACATGAAAGCTTGGAACGTCACCCAAAAAGAACAAACTCTTCCAGGTTCTTTATGGACAGCCGAGATTTGGCTCAAGGACTCACATCACGATCATGGGTTCGCCAGGTGCTGTGTTTTTGCAGATGCTTAAGGGCAACAGTTCCACCAAAGACGTGGCCGGTGAATCATTCAATCTTCACGACCTTCAAACGATTCATTCACATGAAGCAACACACCATTCACATCCATTCACGGCGTTGAGAGGACATCTTCTGGACATACCGCGAGAATTTCTACCTGGTAATACGTCCTGGTACTGTGGAACTTGAAATTTGTTCAATCAATCAGCAAGCATGTCAATTCTCCCTTTCTTGACCTTACATCTCAAAGGGGCGGTCTTTCGCCACGTCTTTCGTGGCGTCCATGTCAATCATCCTGGTCGTCCAAATGAGGATCTGAGATCGCCCTGAGAAGGTGGTCGGGGTGTGTCTTTGGGCCTTGGGGGTGTCTAACTATACATATATAGACTAATAAACAATAATATACCCGGGAAGATTAACATAGAACCTGAAAACCATGGGGTTGTAGAGGAAAGTAGTCTTCCAAAGGTCCATTTTCAGGTTCCATGTTAATCTTCCCGGGTGTAAACACGATGAAGTTGAAGCCCTCTGGGCCCTCAGGGAAAGAGACGAAGGATGCATGAGCCCTCTGAGCACCCATTTTGGTCTGATCCCTGGGCCCTCCAACGACCTCCTCATGACACACTGGGAAGAAAGATCCCTGACCTCCACAACAACAAATGACCCCCAAGACTACCCCGATCTGTTCTCCCCGGCCCAGTCAAGATCAATGCTTTCGCTCTTCCAACGGATGAACCGGATTTCCATCCCCTCCGGTCTCCACCTACGACGGGATCTTTCGCCGAACACTTCCGCGAAGCAGATTCGTCCGAAGCTGGACCTTTCCCGTAGACTCTAGATCGGGTTTGACAGCTTGCTTGCTTCGCCCCAGTCGTCAAACGGATGTCCGTCGAGACATCCGTGTCCGTCGAGACATCCCCTCCTCTCAAAACACGGCGAGCTCCACCGGCCTCGGTAGGACGAGCAACGGGGAAGAGGAAGAGGTCTGAAGAGGTCGGGCAATGACTGGGGCAAGGCAACCACACACACATCATCTGAGAAGTTCCGTGTTTAGATGTACTTCACCTGGATGAGTTGAACTATGTTGAACTATTCCACCAAGCTGGACTGAGGTTTAATTTGCTCTTTCATCATTTCCGTCGAGACATGTCGAGACACAGGTTTTTTGTGCATGTCAGGGTGTCCGAAGGTGTCTTAGATCTATGAGCCTCTGAGCCACGACTGTGCCACGATCGACACTGCTCTCGGTGCCCCGATGCGAACCTGCCTGGCTCATCGAACACTCATGGTCGTTGGAAAGGATCTGTGTGGTTTTGTTGATGCTTACGTAAGATTCGAACAACCACACGCACAAACACAAGCAACTTCAGAACCCCCCAAAAACAAGCTCTTCTTGGGTGAATGACAAGATCTGGCAATAGAATCCACCTTTTGCAGCGTTTGCAACAACTTCTTAGGACTTGCTCAGTCTTGTTCATGCATGGTTGGGCACCCTTCCCCAAATTAGACCATCAGCACAAAAAAGAAATGTCCCGGGTTCCCAATGGTAATAGATCAATTGATGGTGTCCCATCTGCTTTCCAACCAGACCTCTGGTATCCTCTGGTATCCTCTTGTTCTTGCTTGTGATCGAACCTTGCTTTTTCTTCAAAGCGGCGACTCACCGGAGCCACAGCTGGTTGAGCGGCTGGCCTCAGTGTGTGGGAGAGCTAGCTACAAGGTGGTTCTATTATCCCTAGCACTCCAACCATCTCCTCAGAAGGTGGCTGGAGCCCTAGGGTATGTAAAAAAAGTCATGTGCTTTGTGTACACATGTTCAAAAGAATGGATCATCCAATGGGTAGTGGATGAACTTTGCCCGGAACGGATGATCCAGGTAGGATATTATTGGAGGACTCAGCGCAACCGACGGCCCCAAATTGGAAGTCTCGAATCGATGATGTTTGGGAACAACGGAAGTTGACCAGTTGCCAATTTAGAGGTCCCACATTTGACAGCGAGACTTCGAACCAGTTAGTTTCTATCAGAATCAGAATTATTTTATTCTATTATATGCAACCAATGGAGATGGCAGGATACCCATTTCCAACACACCCACTTGCGCAGATTACGTTTGTTAGTTTCCAACTGTCATCTGCCCGTTGTTCAGCACATGACTCCAAACGACTCTCCCTCAAACAGCAACTGTCTAGCATCCCTTTGTCGAGGACCATTGTTTTCTCGGGCCTCTTCCAGGATTCTCTCTTCTGGCTCAAGGCTGAAGCGACATCACAAGGTTCGTTCAACAACGCACCAGGTTCGTTCGTCGCTGGCCTCCACCCGAATCGACCCTCCGCAAACCTGGTCGACAACCGCAACCGGAGGAGCATGGGTCAGAACATGCTCGGTCCACGCTGAAGTCTCAGACCCCGGGCCAAGTGGTCACGCATCAATCCTTTGAGCCTGGCAAACATTTGATGGCAAGGAAATGGAGAAGATGTAGTTTCAAACAGAAGCGGCAGGTGACCGGGTCTGCAATTGGAAGTTTGAGACTAGGAAGGTCATCGAAAAGGGGTCTTCCTCTCTGAAGACCAGTCTGCCCCTGCAGGGTTTAGCTTTGACAAGCCCAACCTAAGCCCCGAGGCACTTGCATTTGTCCGTTTGCTGGATGGCACCGCTGGCCGGTGAAATGCAAACATTGCTTGCAGTAGTCAAACTAAGTGTCATGGGAAAAGGTGCTCCATTCCGCAAACGAGGGTCACTCAAGCTCCAATATGACATACGTTAAAACACATATTGGGGAGGTTGCTGAAAAAGAACAAAACACATAATGTCAACCTCTTTGACATGATTGAAGCTGCTGCTGGCCGATCGTCCGAACGGTCCCCTGGCACGGGGCTCCCTGTCCTCTCTTGCATGCTGGCTGTGAACTCCAGAGAACGCCTTGGACAACGGCGTGAGCACGAACTGATTGAACATTATCTGGGAAATTGTCATATATATATATATGTAGACTATATATATATATATCTATATGTGTGCTACGCAAGGTTGCAAACTGACTCCCAGGTACCTTCTGTAAACAGGCAATGGTGCCATCTTGCTGTTTGACTTCACTCTCATACACCATAACGGTGCGTCGGCCACAAAGGCTTTAGCCACGTGCCAGCTCTCGGCCAACATCCCTCAGAACATCGGCGGAGATTATTATTGCTCATGGGCCCAGAGGACGCCCCCCAATTGTTGTGAATTACCTCCAAATGCAACGAATATCATCCCTGTCAGTACTCTATCATTCCTGTCAGTACTCTACCAGGAAATCATCAAAACTGCCGAAACGTGAGGCACCTCCGAGATCAACCGTTTTCCCTACCCAGCCGTCTTGGTATCCATGTGAAAACTGATGGCCGGATCTCAGCATGCCTTGGTCAGAGTATGTCACATCTTGGCAATTTGAACCTTTCACCTGTGCGGAGAAATTGTGCGAATTGCATAGGTAGGCCAAAGCCTGTTTCGCCGCCAGGTTGGAAAGATCTTGTGAACGCACGCAAAAAATGAGTTGACATGTGCGCCTTGGTTTCTCAAAATTTCCCAGCTTCCATTAGCTGCTTGCGCCAACTGGCCCCAGAATACGTACTGCACCGCAGTCAACCCGTAGCTTGCCTGTGTCTGGGGGCCACAAAACATGCTATCAAATGCTGGAAAACAAACGTCCTTCAACAAATTGTCTAACAAAGCATCACAAAACCTCTAAATGCCTCTTCCTACCGCTTCTCTGTGCTCCTTGTGGGCGCACTACTGATTTGTCCCATCTTCTCTCGCTCCTGTTCTCTCTGCTGCCAAATTCCCCATTCACTTACTGGTTCCGTCGCTCATCTTGATAGCTGGACCTCGCAGCGGAGAAAGATTGAGGTCAGGCCAAGCAACAACACAAAGGTTTTCCTGGCAAGCACACATGCGAATCTGCTAAATGCAGAAATCACACACTCTCCTCCATTCCGCCCAGCTTGCAGCACGCATGCTGTAGTGCCCCCACCGCTGAGGCAAAGCCCATGCATGCTCCATCATATGTGGTGTCAGGTCCATCACTGCCTAGCTTTGCCCACGGAACTTGGGCGCTAGAGCGCATCCATCAACTGTGACCACCCCATCTGAAAAACAAAAGGCTGCCACCAAATCATCAGCTGACCTTGCGAACGTCCAGGCTGGGCTCTATGCCAGGCAGGGATCGGCCGTTCTCTTTCAGCTGAAGATGACCTGGAGCAAATGAAGCCCACAGCTGCGCTGCTCCTGACTCGAGCTGGCCTACTGCAAATACCACTGGTAATATAGTCATCACTGGCCTCCTTAGACTCCCTTCAGTCATCTTCAGTCCAACTGAGGTTGATCGTCACTAATCGGCACTGCCTCTGTTGCATATAGTTCAGCAATGAGGGCTTCCATATGCTTCCATGCCTTCTCTTCTGTTCTCATTCCCCATGAGTCTATATACTTGATCTCTTTCTTATGTTTCTTAGCCCGCTCTGGCAAACGGAACACCAAAACACCGACCATTTCCCTTTGCACTTCAGGGCACGCTCCTCCTGAGTCGGATCTTGGTAGAGAGCTTGTCTCTTCCCCCTTCTCTTTCTTCCCCATATCTTTACTTTCTCCTCTCTTTTCCTTCCACCTTCCTGGGGCCTCATACAAACAGGGGTCTGACCTCCCCAACTGGTTGCGCTGCTCCTTCCCACCGAGGAGGGGCTCCCCACGAAATGACTGTCAGCCGAAAGCTCCGTTCGACAACCACCCTCATGCATGCTTGCCTTAGCCCCGGTTGGAATGACGTTTATTGTAATCACATATTGTGCTTATTTAGGCGTGCATGCAAAGCGCCTGCATGCAAAGTTTTGTATTTTGACTGTTTTTTCTCCAGCAAGACATATATATAATATATATCATATATCTGACTGTCAGGATGTTCATGTCTTTCTCCACAGTCTGAGCCTGGCTCATGGTGAACTGCAGCTGCAAACGGTACTATTCTTCAATTTCTTCAACTCAAAGGCTCTGCAACGTGCGACTAACAGCTCAGCAGTGAGTGGAACTTGTTCAAACACAGAAGACAAGAGGAAAACCCACGTTCATCCGCGTTCACCGGAGCAGAACCGGAGCAGGAACATCAACCACTCGGTCCGGCGCCTAATCAACACAAAAAGGCTGGGCACCTGTGAAATCTGTAGTACACTATCTCACAGCAACATGCTGTGGAACCTCTCAAGAGATCCATGAAATTGCATACACATGGCCAGGAGATCCACCAAGGGGCCAGAGGTCATCCGAGCTGTTACGCCCTCCGGGCCAAGGTGGGGATGGCTCGGGCTTGCCCGGTAGGGTGGAATTCGGCCATTCGGCCCGAAGTGGATGTTTGGTCAACATCTCCTTCACATGGAAAAACATGGAACAACTCAGGCATGGATTTGTGGATGTTCTTCATGGCACAGATCTTCTGGTGGTTTTCACAACGGATCTTCCGGGATGGAGTGGTGAAAACCCCACTCGGTTCGCGGCTCCACTGCGCCAACGCGTGTCTTGAAGGCCCATCTTGCCTGGTAGGTGGATGGAAGATCCGATTTGGTGACCTGGTGATCCACGCCAGGGGGTTATAATAAGAAGTAAACTGTCATAAAAAGGTCCCCCTGTTTTCAGTGCCTAAGCGGGTGGCGATATTTGGTTGGATTAAATACCAACCAAACTTGTTTCCCCAGGAGGGTAGGCGGAAGTCACACGGCACTTCTTGAGATCCCGTGGCCTGAGCATGAACATGAAACCATCGGCAACAACCCTAGAGTCATCATCGGGACACTAGGATGCATTGACCACTTGGGGAAAAACATCATTCCGACGCAATTGTTCTCACGTTCTGGGTTCTCTCAACATGGGTGCATGGGATCTTTTCTGAACCTACCCGGGGTAGGTTCACCAAGGATACAAAACATGACAAAACCACGTATCGTTCGCATCGTCTCTGGCCTCCGGAAATGAAGGAAACAACGTTTAGACCAAGCGAGGCTCTACTGTTTGTTGAACAAAGGAGGCACGTGACTCTAAGGCTTAATGTTTCTTCAACCCTCAACATGACAACCACCAAGCACCTCCCCTTCCATGCTAAAGAAGTAGTCTGCTACGTCTCGCAGTGAGGGCACAGTGGGATTCCTCACAAGTTGCCAAGGGTTTACCTTCAAACAGACAGTACAAACTCCAGCGATCACCCCCTGCAAACGTGACAATCCGCTTGTTGGCACCGAAAAAAACCGGCCCCACCCGAAGTCCAAAGCAATTCCAAGGGCCTCTGCAAGTGTGGTGAAGCGCGCTGGACAAGTGCCTGCCACTGTTGAAGTGGCACAAATCATCATGTGGTCAGGCTGATGTAATTTGGGTATTGGTCGCCTAATGGATGGAACTAGGTTTAATTAGAAGGACGTATGAATGATCAAACCGGACGACTCTGTTCGCATCTGAAGTCTGAAACCAATGCATATCATATCATATCAATTCATATTACCTTACAATGTCTGAAACCCTTTTACAAGACCTACTAGTAGCTGAGAACCGCAAACACTTGTGGATATAGAACAAACGTCTCAACCCTTGTTTCTGCGAGTGTCCCTCTTTTGGACACACATTGTCCATACATTGTCCTCCCCGGACCAGTCGACCACAGGTGTTGTCCAACCCTGAAATCAAGGCCTTCACCTGAAATTAAGTGCAAAAAGAATCAAAAAGAGGTGTTCGCGCATGTGCGCGTATGTTTCCACGCATTCCTTCCAAACGTTCAAAAAAAATCGTTTTTTCTCGGCAAACATTGGTTCAACACATTCGGTGACCGGCAGCTCTCGGCTGAGGGATGTGACCGGCGGGATGATTGTTTCAGCCCGTGGGCCGCCGACCGGGCCCACATCGAGTGGCGTGTTCGCATCCGTCCGTGGCCTCCGTCCCGGGCCCCGGGCCTCTGGGTGTCAGAGACGGTTCCGGGGCATCGCCCTGAGGGATGCGAAGCTGGGACGAAGGGCGGGACATGCTGGGAGCACCCTCCAGTCGTCACATTCGGAGAAGGATTTTCCTTTACATCTCAATGCTGATGAGTGGGCTAGAAATCATCCTGCACATCAACCATCAGGAACTTTCAGAGTGTTTGGGCGACCAAAGAATCTGGTGAGGAACCGGCGTGTTGAATGAGGCCGGATGGACTCACATCAATCATAGGCATCTAACCCCCTTCCCCTCTTGCTGTAGTATGCCATAGTCTCTGGCGCCATGACAGAACTTCTAGACCGTACGGGGAGTTGCGCATCCCTTGATGAAGCTTTGCTGTCAAGAGGAACCATTTTGGGATGCCTGCCAATGCTCAGAAGCTTTTTGAAGGTCCCTGTTGGGAAAGAACACGTCGCACTTCCAGTTGAGACTAATGTGACTAATCCTGTACTGCTTTAGATTCGATGCTGCTTCTACCTTGGAAGTAGTTTGGAGATCTCTTCTTCTCTTCGAAATGTTTTTTGGCGAGATGTACCCACAAAGGCCCTGAACTAGCTTTTGAGCGAATCCCCCAAACCTACAGTACTCCACTTGAAAAATAACCTTTCTCGAGGGGTATATGCTCCATGAAAGGAGAAAATCCAATCCGGTTGGAATATGGTTGACTGTTCGACATGGATGCGCTGCTGAGGAAGCAATGTATTCACTGTATTGAAATGGGCTTCCCCTGTCCTTGCAAGGTTACTCAGATGAACCCCAAACCTGCATGTATGTACGCAGAAAAGCGAATACAATCTTACCAAGGAAAACCACCACCACAACAACAACACCAACAACACCAACACAGCAACACAGCAAAACAGCAACAACAGCAACAACCACCGCAACGACAGCAACAACAACCACAACCACAGCGACAATGACAACAACACATATATACATATCATATCAACTGTTGCAGACATTCTTTGGGACATGCAACAGTTGTTCAAAACTGTTGTTGCAAAACGGTTGTTGGGAACTGCTTTGGGACATGCTCCATGTTCAGTCCACTTCCAACTGACCAAATCTGCAGCACCGAAGCGGCGCGGGGCGTTCCACGGGGCCGAATGATGCTGGGCTCCCCGGCTGGTCGGCCTCGAACGTCGGAGGACCATGAGGCGAAGACACAGCAAGTCATGGATTTTACAGTTGATTTATCCCTAGGGCTCCTGGCCCACCTCCGTTTCGAAGATGGTTGGGGTGGGTGCCAGGGGGGTCTAACCACCGCACCTGAGGATATGGTTGGAGCCCTAGGGTATGTTGATGTAGGAGAGAGACGCGGAAGGTAGGGCTAGTGACTGGGGTGAAGTCGTAACAAGGTAGCCCCCGAATTTGTAAAGTCTCTCCGTGTTGATCCATGATCAACCTGATAAGCTGGTCATAGACGTCAATTCGATGTTGTTGTTTTTGTTGCCCTTGTTTTGATCACCTAGTACTTTGGACATGAGGTTGAAAAATAGTGGGTGAAGAGGATTGACGAGGCTGCCCCGTGTCCCGCAAGCTCCTAAATGTTTGACTCGTCAACATCGAGTCGACTGCCGGGTTGGATGGTAGACCTCACTAAGTCGACTGGCACAGGCTTGCGGAGCAAAGGAAATGCTGGTGTCATGGGAAGCAAAACGAAGCAGCAGTGGACCTTGCCAATCACAAAAGGGAATCAAAGGGAGCTGTTCCTTAGATGTGTCCATCCAGTACAGCATCAATAGAACATGGAGGTCTGGATATTCAAGAGCGCCTGAAAACAACTCAACATGTCTTTCTTGGGTGTGGATAACTCTACACCGGCCAAAGTACCACATCACTGTTCAGTCTGCTAACTGATTAATTCAATTAGTTACATTTATATATAGAGCCTGCAAGGTCAACCGGGTCAACCGCTTTTCAATGTTTCCATATATGATATGTCTTTCCAAAAGTGGTTCAGTTCCATCCATCGGTGGAGTTGAAACCAAGCACCCGTGCTTCGCTTCTGCGACGGACCTGAAACAGCCTGGGCCGTTGGTGCCACGCGATCGCCGAGTGTTTTCTTGGCTTTTCCATGCAGGGTTGACTGTTTGCTCAGGTGTCCTACAGGGAGTCATTAAATGTAATTAAGCAAGCAAAGAGCAAAGTCCCTTGTAGGTCAGGAAGCAGTAGGAGTCGTAGAAGTATATGGTTAGTAGTAGGAGCGGTAGTTATCGTAGTACTGTAGCAGCAGCAGTGAGTCTTCAGTGGCATCTTCCTCTCCGGATGAAGGCATTTTATGGGAGCAAATGAACACGAATTCATCAGTTTTGTCCTGTCATTGCTGTTGCCTCAAAATAGGGGAGACCCAGCAAAGGATGTGCGACATGTTCTGGTGAATGTATTCTGGAACCCAACCCAACCCTCATAGTCGCTTGCGGGCATTGGTTGGAGGTCAACATTCTTTCTTCTTGAAGTTCAGCGGCGCCATGATCCACCCAAACTCCTGAAGATCCATACCTGCACCTACTTCAAAGGTACGCCCATTCTAGACCCGAAGTAGTTGAGGGTATGAAGATCCAAGAAAAAACGCCTTCACTTGTGATGTTCGCTCTTTGACTTGATATATGTCTACTTCTCGCACTCAATGCTCGCTTCACCGTGTCACCGTGTCACGGGACCGTCAGACCGTCCGTCCGCCCGGCAAACGAACTTCACATCCTATGACCACTTGGATTTGCACCAACTTCGGTTCTTTCCCCCAAAGGAATCAAAACCCGTCGCCCTCTGACTCGGACGCCTTGGTCATTTGAGATCTGAACGAACACTGGCTGCGCCCACGCCCTCCGACTCGGACGCAGGCGCGCTCGCCCACGCCTCTGCATCCAATCCGCGCAAGACGGGCACCTCGCTTCGGCGCTTGGCCCCGACGGGCGACTCGAACGCGCCCGCGGACCGCGACTCGCGACTCGGAAGGTGGATCACAACTGGGCTCCGGTTTGTGCAAACAATGTCTGATCAAAGCTTTTGGAATCGTTGACCTGCGGGGAAACCCCAGCAGAAAGGGAAGTGAAGCTCTTGAAGTCTCCACCCATTCTTGAGGTTCGAATGGCAAGCTGGTCATGAAACACAAGCCCCTAGGGTCACAAGTTCGCTGAATGTCGCTCGCAGTATGGCATGGATTCCTGTCTGTAGTTTGTTCCATAACTGTAGTTTGTCCTACCTACATCGAAACGTCCAGCACTGGTGTACATAATGATGAACGCTTCGGATCGCGAAGTGGATCACGTGGCTCATGTCTTCAAAATCTGAGACTTCACAGCAGGAGCGGCTTTCCTGAAAAGGAAAGGAAAAAACACATCCACCTTGATGTTGCCAGTGGTACTACTCGCTCTCATCTTCACCTGAGCTAAGCCCGCCCGCAACGGGAAAACGGCCTAATCCTGGGGGGGTCCTGATGGGTCCCGTGCGTTGGTCGGGGAGTCGTGTCCAAACATGGCGGCCGTCACTTCGAAGGGGAGAACAAGGACAACGCAAAACCGTCAGTCCAAACATGCATAGGAAAAGGACGATGGAACGTGCGGCGCCTTAGAAAGCAAACACATTCTAGAATCCACTCAAGTTCTGATCGACTGAGAAGACCAATGTTACAGGAGCACGTGCCAAGTGGTTTCAACCGATCTTCGGCCAGTGGTCACCAAATGCCGTCAGTGGAATCATCGAAAGGATTGCTACAACTCAAGGACCCTCCAGAACGAAAGTGCAAACGTGTTTGTCTCAGTTTTTGTTGCCACGCGTCTTTCCCTCATGCTATTCCTTCAGGGCTCTTAGTCCTGGTCAGTCCGGCTCCGTGCTTCTTCCATCGGAAGGGCTCCAAAAACCGCTCGAACAATGGTCCGCCAGTGGGGGGGGGGCGATCGGTTCGGATCCTGATCTGCGACATGCTTTGAGGCCAAACATGTCAAGCTCACTGCTGGACGGAGCATTGGGAGCGGATACTGTCATTGTTCCCTAGGGCTCCTGTCCCATATCCTCAGGTGGTTAGACCCCCCTGGCACCCACCCCAACCATCTTCGAAACGGAGGCGGGCCAGGAGCCCTAGGGGTTATTGTGAATGGACTGTGTGTCACTCCCAACACAAATAGTGTATAGTACTACTTTTTGTTGGAGCATGTTGAAGCATCCTGAGGAGACCTCTAGTGACACCGGAATTTTATCCCATTGCTGAGTGGGACTATGTGGGACCAACCAAAGTCACTAGCTTCTATAATGGGATTTCTGAAAAGCACTTGCACAGTTCCCCACCACATCATCTTCCCATTTCAGCTGCTGGAGCCCCTTACAGCCTCCGTTCGTCCCCTCTGCGGCAACAAGGTGGCAAAGGGCCTCGTCTTTTGACAACGCTGGACTCATGGATTCCAGGTAGCTAGGCGAAGAGTTTTGAAACACACTGGCAAGGAGAGTGATTCCTGCCCCAGTGTCGTCCATGGACCTGACTTTTGGGATGTCGCAACCCTGTTCAAAACCAGAAACGCCCAATGTTTCAAGTCAAACTCTTTTGACGCACGACGAATGTTATGTCAGCTGGATCACATGAAAGGGACGTCGGAATGGGATAATCATAGACCCATGTCTTCAGCAGGGTGTAGGCCCTGTGCAGGGGTCTGACGAGTTTTTGTTTCTGTGCGCGAGCAGCTGTAGCCCTTAAGAGCCGGGTGCCCAGGTGCGCACCCCCATGCCTAGCTGTGCTTGTATCCAGATTGGGTGGTGTGCGTGCAACGCATCATGATCATGATTAACTGCTTTGACTTGGACGACTACCAATGGCCCAACAAACTGTCCAACCATGTTCACTTGCATGTAAGACCAAACAACCCTTCCAAATCCAACACCGCCGACCCAACCACCACGCCACTCAGTCTCCCTGACATGCTTTGCTTTGGAGTGGGAGAGCTGGGACGTGAGGACAGCCGCGTGGTCCGAGCGGTGGCGGGCGAGATCCGCCCCGGTGAACCCGGGCGACTGAAGAGAGAGAGGCTCGGCTGCGTCCTGTTCCATGCGAAACACGCACGCGCGTGCGCGTGGGAGCGTGTCGGTTTGGTTTTGTGGAGGTGATGGGCGGAGCATCGAAGACCATTGTTAAATGCTCAAAAGGAAGTCTGCCTAGCGCTTCCAATGGGTGCCCAATGGAAACCTATGAATGGTGTAGGGTTTCCTCGCCTGTTTCTTCCCTCCACTCTCTTCCAACAAACAGGTCCTGTTCTTCACAGTTGCTTCCACTTTCAAGTTTCTGGTTTCCGTTAAACTGCTTTCCTCCACTCTTACAATTGCTTCCAAACTTAAATTATTGGCTTCCGCTAAGCTGTTTTCCTCTTCTTTCACAGCTGCGTCCACATCCAAGTCCGAGCCAGAACCCCCAGACCCCTTTTGAAGCTTTACGGGTCAAGCTCTTCAGTTTTCTGAAGAAAAGGAATCTGAAGATGACCCCTCACTACTTGCCAAGGCCGGCCTCTCCCTGTGTGCTTTGATGTTAGTCCAAATCAAAGCCCGAGAGAAGATTTAGCGGAAGCCGCTAAATTGAAAGTGAATGGCTGCTTCATCAGTTTTCCCTTTACCTTAAAGGAGCCCAGGGACAAATTGAGCCACCGCCAACGCCTTATCCATTAGGCCAAGTGACCTATTGAGAAAGAGTAGCCCTTGAAAAGCCAGCCAGTCAAAGAGGGCAAGCCACCAAAACAAATTACTGGAAGCCACTAATTTCAAAACGCATTTTCTTGTGTGTGCTTCCTTTTTTCCTGCTTGTTTGTCTTCTTCTGTTCTGCCTTATTATTCTTATTATATATTATTGTTCTTTATGTTGATTTGTCTTGTCTTATCTTCATTATCTTGCTTGCTTATCTTGCTTCTTTTTGTTCTGTCTTCTTTGCCTTTGTCTTCTTCCTTTGTCGCTTCTTCGTTCTGCCTTTTCTGCATCTTGTTCTTCTTTCCGCTTCTTTTTCATGTTTTCTTATTTTGCGTCTGCTTGATATGTCTTCTATTTCTTATTCTTTCTTCATGTTTCCTGCTTGCTTATCTTGCTTTTTATATTTATATTGTTTCTACTTATCCTCCTTCATCTTTTTTCCTGCTTGCGTGTCTTCTTATTATTACATTTTGTCTTGTCATTTTCTTTTTAGTGTTCTTCTTCTTCGTAGTCCTTCTTCTGCTTCTTGCCTCATCCATGCCATGGATCACCTCTGGGAATGGGCCCCCTGTTGAGTGGAGGGCTCCTCCAACCAACCACACGACAACCAAACCATGTGATCCAAGGGCTTGGATAACACACCCACCTTTTGATCCATGCCCTATGGATCGAGGTATGGATCGTGTGTGGGTTTGGGTGCGTGATTGAAGTCTTATTTTTCTGGCCGAAGCCATGTCTGTTCAAACAGATTTGGATACGTGTTCGGTCCACCGGAAGAGAAATCAAAATTCTATCCTCGGCCCACTACATTGACAACAGGCCAATTTTGCTCATACCGTTCAACTAGAAAATGCCATAAAAATCAAATATCTAGAAAGTTTAACAACATCCACACGATCAGAAATGATGCACATGGATACACGATCATGATTCCCACAACTATATAAGTGGATGGCGTTTCTGTGCATGTTCTAACACTCGTCCGTCCACTCGTCGCGCGTGTCCACGTTCTTGAACCTTTTCTGAAGCAGCCATCGTTTTGGGGCGAAAATGGTGATTTCTTCGCCAAGGGCTGCTGCCAGTGTTGAAAAGCAAAGTGTTGAACCCCAGGGCTCCTGTCCCGCATCCTCGGAAGGTAGGTACAAAACATTACCAAACACCTCTGGCAACCGCCCCAACCACCGAACCGAAACGGACGTATATAGTTGGAGCCATCGGGCGTTGCGCGGAGTCATGTTCATGGATGACGAGATCTTAAGTTCCTGGAGATGCAACGTATTGTTGGGGGTTTTGGCATTCAGTTTCCATATGCTGCATTATATTGAGTTCATTCTTTACAATGTCAAATCCCTCTTGATTTCTAAAGGCAGATCAACCGCTGCTGTTTTGGTTTGTAGACGCATCCTCACACCCTCGTCATCCAGTCCTTCGCAGCTCGGCGCGCGCGGTCTTCGGAGGCTGCGTGGCTTTCGGCTCGCCTCGACCGAGCTTGGTGGGCGAAACTCGACGCAGCTGGTGACCAGTGGAGGCGTCGTGGATGCGGTCGTTTCACGGCATTTGAGACTTTTGGGAGATAAGTCTAAGTGGGAAGTTGGACTGCAAGTGCAAATCCCCACAAAATTGCTGCCTGTAAGTGCCACTTCGAGTTGTGTTGAAACATGATGAAACAACAGGGTGTCCGAAACAAACAGTCCTGATATGGCCTGTGTAGTGAGGAAGGCTTAACAACAACTTTACACCCCACAAACACATCGTGGAAATCCAAGATCAACAAGAAGCTTGCGCTCCTTCCAACTAACATGTCGCAGACTGGCCAAGTAGATTCTGCTCGGTCACAGTCACTGCCGGCAGAAGGGACATCCCGAAAGCTCAAAGAAGGCCCCAACTTGAGTTCGGAACCCAGGTTCCGCCGTTCCTGGGCTTCTGCGGTGACGCCCCGCTCCTTTTGCACCGGGGCATCGCCGAAGGGGTGAAGGGGTGCGGAACCGCACCTTTGGCACCGGTTGGCCGCTCGTTCTTCAACGTGGGCCAAGGGGCCTCAGGGTGGCGATCGTCACGTAGAGGCAAGGCATGGTGTGGGTGCTTCTGGCTTCTGTCGCGTGCTTGAGTCACGCCTCCAAACACTATCCATGATCCAATTCTCGAATGCATTTTTGGGGGATATGGGTGACGGGGATGACCACGATCCAAATTCATCTTATGAATGTTCTGTGTGAACGTCAGAAGGAACGAGAAGCTTTAACACTGCCCCGCACTTGCCCAGCGCTCTCCTCGAAAGACACATCCTCTTCAAAACTCAGGTTTTGTTGGAGTTTCAATCAAGGTCAAGATCCAAAAATCGTGCTTTCTCTACGGCCAAATGAAAGGAAGGACATACCAGGATGAAAAAACACGCTCTGAAACCAACATATAGAATCTGTAGACTCAGTGAAACAAGCAGAAACGATCCTTGCTGGTAACCAAGATATTTCTGTCCAGTTACCATTTCTTGAGGGTGTTCAATATTGTAAACCCACAAATAATGCCAGAAATCTCCGTCCTAAGCGAACAAAGTCAAGCACTGCAAGTGAAGACTAGCAAATAGCTCAAGCACTCTGCGAGGTAACCCCATGCGGAGCAAAAGACTTGTCCATATTATTCACAGTCGACAGGATGTTTGTATCTCTTTCTGTTTGCGTGTTTCATGGAAGACCATTTAATTTGGAGGACACACAATTGAGTATTCACCTGCCCTTGCATGTGTTGGTTGGGCCCATTGCTTACTCTCCACTGCCATTCTGGCACAACAGTTGTCTACAAGGAGGGAAATCTATTGCCGGTCGAGAAAATCAATATCTGTGATCGACATTAAAGGCAAGTATAGAAGAAGAACATACTAAGTATAGCATAGCCCAGGAACCCTACTGCATTTTGTAGAGCAACAAAGACACCAATTTATGTACGAAACAAGGACACCCTGACAAACGCTCTCCGGAAGGGATTCCTGTATCGCACACGTGACTGGATGTGACACGGATGTGACTCGATGTGTCTGGATGTAGAGCTTCGATGCCCTTTGCTCCTAGTAGCGATGCCCTTTGCTCCTAGTAATGGATCCATCGGAGCTTGGGTGATGTTGGAAGATGTTGGAAGCACGAAGTTCCACCCAAAAAACCACTCTCAGCCCTTAGAGCCAAGGGCATCGCTACTAGTAACTTTCGGGCATGATGACATGCTCTTTCGCTCCATTCTCAACGACTCTTAGCCCTCAGACTTCAGAAAACGACGCAGCCGTGCCACGCTTTTGATCACTCGCATCCACTCGCAGCCTGAAGCACCGACCCCCTGAGAAGGGTCTTTGCAGCACCGGTCGGATCAACCCGCAAGTCGAGCCTCGAACTCGCGGAGTGTCCGCTATCCGAAACGAATTCTCTGTAGATGTGCCATTTTCCTTTGATTCAGATAAATCTCTATTATAGTAGTTTTTCCATCAAGAGCTTGATCCGTTTTTTTCTACAGAGTCTTGTTTACTTCACAAACAGCTGGCATCCTCCATCATTCGGAGTCGCTGGCCTCAGGACCACTGCGGAAAAACCAGTAACAAAAACGGAGGTTTGAAGCCCGAACGAATCGGTTGTCCGATGAGAAGGCGTATAGAGAGCTATATCATATATACAAAAAAAAGATACCTAGATCTTCCAACTATTCAACATTTCTGCCTTGTTCATTCACACAAACCAACCACAAGGCCAGCATGTTGCATACTTCAGTATATAATATTAAATGCTATTCCATGATTATTTAATATTTCTCTGGCACCCTGGAAATTGTGAGCTTTGAGCCCTTCCGAGGCTGGTCGAGCAAACAAAAAACCGTTTGACAAAAAGAACACGGACTGTCAAACGGTGGTCTCCGTGAGGTCTCTGGATCCTTCGAACGGGATGGTTTCGCCGATGCGGCATGTTCTGCGGTCCCCTTCTTGTTCTGCCTAGATCTTCAAATGAGCAGAAATAAGTGCTCGAGGTGTAAACTGCTCGTTTTGCAAAAAAGTGCTCGAGCTGCAAATGAAGAAAAGCAAAATAAACAGGTGCAGTTTTCCAAAGTGCGCTCGTGTGCGCTTTTTTGCGCTCGTGTGCGGAATTTTGCGCTCGAAGTGCGGCCTTGAAAAAATGCGCCGGACACACAAGAAACTGCGCGTTTTACAAAAACTGCTCGTTTATCCAGAAAGTGCTCGATTCTTAAGAAAGTGCTACGAAACGCAGGTTGAGCACTTATTTCTGCTCGTTTGAAGACCTAGGTGGAAAAAAGAAAGGGACGTTGATGGTAACACAACTCCTCTGCTGTCCTCCATTAGTAGTGCTTGACAAAGTCACGAAGCAAAACATGTTGGACAATCTCAAAAGTCCAAAGTCCAATGTGGGCTGCTGGCTTAGGCTTAGGATCCATTGTCACCCCTACATGGCTGTACGTTTTTGAACCCAATCCTGCACAAAACATCACTGCAAGGCAAGGAGTTCTCCTCACCTGTTGTGAAAGAGAACCAACGGGTTCCTGGACACCGACACCTGTAGTCTGGGACTTTCGTACAGCGAAACATCTCTTCTGGTCACTTGTTTTTCAGTTGCCATGACTATCGTGACTATAGGTCATGCTGATATCTTTGTCTCCGACAATCACACTTCAAGCTCTGACTCAAAGGTAGGGCTCTTCACTCACAAGTATATGTAACACCTGAAAACTCAAGGAACATCACTTCTGAGATCTTCTTTAAGCAGCATCTTACAGCGCTGCAGCACATGGACCCCACCAGACCAATCACCACCGGACTCAGTCTGCGCATGGTCTCCACATGTCCCCATCGATCACCTCACTTGCCACAAAAAAGAGGTCTCCAGACCGGTCCATGAGTCCGTCCTCGGTTCTGTCCATGGGTTGGGTTCATCACGTATATATCCGGTGGTGAAGATCTCATACCGCAAAGGCCGCCCAGGTGCCGCGGCGCCCGATCCCAAGCAATTTTCAACTCCGGCGGGTGCCCCGCGCGACTGACCCGCGCGACGCGCGTCGGTGTCGGGCCTTGAGGAAGCTGGAGATCTTCCACCCCGTCGTCGCGGTCACCGCTTCCTCGCGTTCGTACCCGACCGACGAGGTCCCCAAATCGGCGGCTCGGTTCGTGCCGAGCTCCGAGGTGGACCCCATGACCTTTGGGAGTTCTTCCATCTGAGAATCACGGTGGAGCATAGTGGAGCTGGTATGGTTTTAACATACACAAAGAAAACCGGAACATGAATGCAGCCTCACTCGGTCCTTTTTCTTCTTTTTTGAGAGCTTTCCTTTCGGCTTCTGTCCATCGCTGCTGCTGTCGCTGCTGCTGCTGCTGGTGCTCTTCTTTTTCTTATCTTTCTTTTTCTTCTTGTCTTTCTTGTCTTTCTTCTTATCCTTCTTTTTGTCCTTCTTCTTCTTTTTTGGAGGCCTCAGCAAGGTGATGCGGACCAGGGACCCGACTGGGACCCGACTCATGTTGCTGTAATCAAGAACCTCACAAACAATGAGCAAACAAGGCTGGCCCTCATGTCTCAATGCTGAGCTTGCATTTTAAAGCACAACATTGACACTCATTGAGCCATCTAAGAAACACCCCGTCTCCATCCCGTCTCCATCCGAATCTCCATCCAAAGGTCTTCCAGTTGCTTGCAACTCAGGATCCAAGTTTCATCGCACTTTTCGGAGCCAAAAAAGACCTGGACCTCCGGAGGTCGAACCTCCGCTCGACCTGGACCGGTTGGGACCTGTGGTGCCAATAGTCAGCGAGTCTCAAGGAGCAGTTTCTGAAGTCTCAGAAGCCTATAGCCTTTCCCTTAAGAAATCACAACAAAGACCGGACTGGCCGGCCGACCGTTGGGATGGGATCGATCCCAACCGGACTGTCTGACATGGTACCGACCAGAAGCGACTCGGACGTTTGATGCATGGATCCGAAGTCAGTATCAAACTGAGTAGCGTTTTTTGGAGCAATGTCTGTACCGTGTAGCCACCAACAAAAAAAGCCTACGTTTAAGCAGTCTTAGAGCTTGGCGTAGCCTTCGCGTAGGGGAAGTATTGCGCGTCGTAGGCACCGCGTAGCCTGCCTCTGCAGTAAAAGCGACCTTGCGTAGCCTCTCGTGGAGTTCCCCTTACCGCGTAGCCAGCGCGTAGCCTACCCTTCAGCAAAAACGGCCTCGCGTAGCCTCCGCGAAGGCGATTAAAAAAGAACACTGAGTTCCACCTGCTTGATGATTTGCTTAGATCAAACAGAAACAACATGAAACTTAACTAAACCGCATGGCACTGGTCAGTGTTGCCTCGAAGCTCATCAACATGGTCAACATGGGGAAAGTAAAGGACCCTATTGACACATGGAGCCGCTTTTTCAGGAAAGGCTCGACACTGTTCCTGAGCAAAACCAAATGGGCAGTAGGCATCTGGTGATGATACCGTGGTCTGAAGGCCACGCATGGTCTGACCAACGGAACTGATTCCAGATCCACGACACTCCACGATTGCTGGAAGTAGACCAGTCTTCCGGCCGAGCGGCGCTGTGGGCCCGGCGGCGGATTGGAGTTCGGCAGGGGTCTTGATGGCGCCCGTTTGGTTGTCCGGATCGCCATACTCCTCCACAGCAAACACACACACACACACACATTCCGCAGTGTGCAACATGTAGCTCAGAAAAAGAATGGGGATGGGTGGGTGACCATCGCTTGCAATCGTCCTTGAACTTGGGCCAAAAAACATGATCCGTTCTCAGCAGGTTTCGTCAACGTGCCTTTCTGGAAAAGAGGCTGTTGGCTTCAGAAAGTTAGAAATGGATCTGACAAGAACATCAAGAACAGCCGTTCGTCCAAATCGATCGACTCCTTCTCAAACTGCGCCAGCTTGGTACTGCCCTTCTTCTTCAGCCTTTCGGCCTCAACATGGGGAAGAGCCAGTGGGGGACAAAACCTGAGGCCCTTCCAGGTAGGTCAACCAACGAACCAAGGTTTCCTGGTTTTGATCCACCGCCTGAAACGATTTGACAAGCCGAACCAACCGAAACCTCGATCCTTAGGACTCACCACCTCGTTTCGACTGCGAGTTGTGAAAGCCAAACTTCGAGTTGCCATTCGGCACATGTTCGGGTTTGGCAAGCGCCAATGTTCTGTGAGTCAAAGGACACATGGACCTAGCTCAACAAACTTTGTGAGCCGGGCTGACCAGCAGTGTGTGGTCGTCTATTCTTCCATCTATCTATCTATCGGAGCTTACCACACAGGATTGGATGTCACCCTCGGGAGCCATAGCCACATGTCTCTTTTCGTATCTAGTCTTGTCAAGACAAAACTTCCAACAACAGTTGACCGCCACCAACTGAGGGCATGAAGCAAGTGCTGCTGTCCTATAAAAGCCCTCCCACTATTACTCTCAATGATTGTCAATGATCGTGAATGTGAGGATATTTATTATGTAGCTTGTCATTACCCTCGCAAGAAGCAGAAGCATCCAAAACGAATGTGCAGGCTGGCATTACCGTGCTCGCTGTACGCTTTCACACTCTTGAGTGATCAAGCGGCTTGGAGATCCTTATTCCGTAGCGCACTCGGTGGAACTGAGATACTAGTGAACTGAAGGAACTCAGGAACTCCTGCACCCTGAGCACCGCTGTGTTGCATAGATCAGAACTCCTTTGTTCAGAAAACGCACATAGATCATGAGAGCCTGGTGAAAACCTTTCCCATAAGTGTCTTTCCTGAGTCACCATACGTAATTTTCCGACCGAACCCACCCAATTGGTAGCGTTCTTGCCCCTAGTAGCGATGCTAGGAGCCCCTATAGCTTCTTGTTCCTATAGTCGTAAGGCCAGGAGCCCCTAGGTAGCGTTCTTGCTCCTAATTGCTCTTTCCCGCCACGAACGGCCCTTTTTTCACTGCCCATCCCCTTAGTATAGCGCTTTGCGCTTCAAACACCCCAAACCACCGAAACCGCCCACCGCCGCGGTCGAAAGGCCCATCCTCGTCTCCTCCCGGCCTCCTCTTGCTCCTTCATCTCTGCCACGAATTCGGAGGCAGTCTGGCGGCGAGGGATTCTGTCGATGCATCGCCGATGGAAAGCACAACGATCATCGCACACGACGTTTCAGGTTTTTCACGGGGGAGTCGCCCTGACTCTTTTTCTGGAGTCAGGTCTGGACCTGACTCCCAAAACGACTTTTTGTATTGTAGATAAGGCAAACCAAAAAGCAGGCATATTGTCTTTGGCCTCATTGCAAGAAAAACACCAGGGTTAGTGTTAGCTGCAATATTTAGAGCAAACCATAGCAAACCCATTTAACGAGCATCCGCTATTGTATTGGCCTTATTGCAACAGCAAATCACTCAGCAAACACGGTTGTCAAAACCCACACAAACTGCCACGCAAAGCTCTTGACTCTTGACCTCTTGGGCAAATCCATCTATGTACCACATGAGGGTGGGTGGGGATGCCAGGCCTTGTTCTATAATCCTTAGGTGGTCAAACCTTGGGGTGGTCAGGTTCCTACTTCGAACCTCCGGCAGCGTCGCCTTTGGGGACCTCTTGTCGTATCATGCATGGGGTTCATACTCCCCAAATCTTCAAACCACTGTACTACTCTCCCTGAACTCATCATGGAAAGTGGATGGCACCACTACTCTCCCCACATCGTCTTTCATTCACATGGTCCTTCTGGGCTTCGTTTCCATCTTCGTTTTCATGACCTTCGCTTCCGAAGCGAATCGCCCGTTCTTCAAGCATCGCCCAGTTCGTCCTCCACCCATCGAACCATCACCCGCCCCGTTCGGTGCGTCGACCGAACCCCCCGCGTTCGGCGGCTGACCGCGCCTTGTCCATCCGTGGCTTGGGCGGAGTGGGGTCCGGAGGGCGCCATCGCTTGGGCATGGCGACAACGAAAGGAGAAAGGAAGTGCCAAAGAGGCCAGAGTTCTATGCGGACATGGGTCAAACTGGGGACCCCAAGAGGTCAAACTGCATGAAACCACGGATTGGAAGAATATGCTGCACCACGCAAACCTCTGAGGTCATGATCTCATTTCTTGAGGTGAACCCCGACGCTCGTTGGATCTTTTTGACCTTTGCCTTGGAAGAATTTGGTGGATGAGACATGATGAAACCGTGCCGATTATTTTTTTCGTAGCAATGACATGGATCTGAAGCGTGGAATGGATCCTTTGAGGAAGGATCGTTGGGGTAAAAGCAAGTATCGAAGACTCCCGGCATTTCCATAGGTTGAAAAGGACGGAAAGCACATGCTGGTGAACAACAGCACATTGAAGCCTCCCGTGTGAGACTTCAGGTAGGCTTGGGTGATGGTCTTCGGGGACGATGTTCTCGACACCTCTCATGGTTTCTGCACATCTTCTACAGCAAATGCTGAGATCCGAAATCATTACAAGTCTGACCGATGCATCCTCTCAGAGGCCGTGTCCCCTGCAAATTTTGTGAAACCATCCGAGCAATGCACGACCATCAAACCTTCAAGGATGTCCTGAAGTCACCATTTCTCGCAACCTGTCTGCATGATGTCCAAAGTGACGCACCGGCATCATTTACATATTTACATCGGCGTCCGCCGGTACATCGTCGAAAACGGTGGGACCCTCTTTTCGTTGGGTCTACCGAGGCTAGCCGCCCGAGGCCCGGACCCATACAAGTTCACGCTCTTCACCTAGGTGCCAGGGTGAAGACACCCCTTCTTCGCTTCGTTGAATATGCGCGATTCATGCGATCGGCCGTGAAAACAAACAACAACATGACATCACATGACAAAAAGACGGACATGGACAGACATTCTGATCTAAAGGATTCTGTGAGCCTCACACAGGCTCATATTTTAGGGTCACAAATTTGAAACCTAAATGTTGCTCAGGTTCTCCACAGAAGGACCGGGTCTATACAGCCTGCTTCAGACAATTCAGCTTCTGGAACCCAGACCTGGTGGTCTTCCCAAACCATCCATCCATCACACCCGAGCCCCTCGTCGTTTCCCTCGAAGTGAACGATGAGCTTCCCGGATCGGACGCCCTGGGAAGCACGTGGGGCGACCGTCTGATGAGGTGGCTCCCCTCCTGGTGGTCTGTCAACATGAAGAGTCGAGTCTTGAAGCCTTGGGTGTAACAGAGACACCCTCCTATTCTCAACACCAGTCTACCTTTCTCGAAATCATGGTTGCGTGGATGGCCCCGAATTGAGATGCTCTACTTAACAGGTGGTTTTTCCCGTGGTTTTCCAATTCCATGATGATTTCAAGGTGTCTAAATCGAACCCAAAACCATCCGCTGTCCGTTCGTTGCATCCTGGGCACCCAGACTGGCCCGGCGTTGTGGAGATGCTCGGCTTCGCGCCTGGGCTGCGTCGAGTCATACAACAGCCACCTGGCTGTGGGTCAAAACCAGGATACCTTGGCCTTAACCCATTCCTGTGTAACCCCAGCCATGTCAATCACTTATTTATACACATAGCTACTAAGTCTTAGTAGATTCTCCACACCAGTGATCATGCCATGTTTCTGATCATGCATGGCATATTGGACGATGTTGGGTACTTGGTACTTTCCAACTTCCTGCCTACAACAAAACGTTATCGCTCCCTCTGTGGTCCTGCCTGCCCAGGCTCATTCCATCGGGCCGTGCAGGCCATGTTGCCTGACAAAGGTTGGGATAATGATGTTGTTGATGATTAATGATGGACGACGACAAAATTAATCCAACATTCAACCATATTCAACAACTCTAATATCAACCCAACAATCGCTGCAGGGAGGGAGGGACGGAGGGACGGGAGGGTAAACATACTCTCCGATTTGCCGTTCCATTGTAGGGGACAATTCCCTCGAGGCTCTTCCACCATGGAACGTTCATGGGAGTAGGCTCCCATAGTCAATCATACTGGCTGCAGTTGTAGGGCCTCGAATGCTTTCGAATGCAGCATCCTTGATACTAATACATTTGGATCAGGATCGCTGTCGATCTAAAACAAAAACGGCTGCTGGAGACTGAAGACACAAACCGCGTCACCTAACCTTTACATCCACGTTGCAACCTCTTTATCAAATCAGCAAAACATGGCAGAAGGCTCCTCACCTGCTTCGCCGCCGATCAGCTCACAAATGGCTCCGATCAAAACACGAGCCCAGCTGCTCTGATGATCCCAAATCTCATGAGTGGATCATGAAAGATGAAAGCAAATTGACGGAACCAGGTTCTTGTCAGATTAACTTTAAACTTTATGTGCAAAAGGAATACAAAAAGTAAGGCTGACAAAGCATCATTTTCAGACATAGCATATCATCAAATATTTGTCAAATACTGTATCAGCATCCTCTTGCCCGGAGGTGTACTTGACTTTGACCTCTATACAAAGCTGAACAGTATTACCAGTAATTTAGGTCCAAGAGAGGCTTCGTGCTGGCGGTCTCCTCAGAACCCAACGCCGCCGGGGGTGACTAGAGAGATGTCTAACCGGGCGGCACATGAGAGTCAAACAACTTTGTTTTCTCCCCACTCCTACGAGGTTTGTGAGGTGACCTTAAAAATACTGCCAGTGACAATCGCCAAAGCTAGCCTCACTGGCTCTGACAACAACTGGCGATGCGCAAGAATTGCAAACAAACCATACTCAATCTCAACTACAGTAAGAGGCAGTGAGGTGATTCTTGGAATTGCAGCGTCGTCTCCAAAGAATGGTGTATGACGGTCGAGGTAACCAGGGCAACAAGGAGGGTATAGGGATTTATCAGGCGCGCCTTTTTGAGCAAGCCGGGTGCAAGCATAAAATGCCAGTGCCCTGGGTGAGCAAATAATGTATTGCAGGTAGCAAGAGCTGAAGCTGACATTTGGCATGGCTTTGCCCGAACAGAATAATCACTCGAGAGGGTATCAATCACCCAGTACACCTCCCAGCATCCTCAGTGTGTTCAGATCTTCTTTTTGAAAATCTGCCTGCTTTTCTGGACCTTCCTTCCCGCAGCTAGTTTCGCAATGCGATTGCAACCAATGCGAGTTCCCCGAATTCCCGATCAAACGTGTCGCATACGATTAGGAATTCCAAAACGACTGCTGTCTACCAGGTCCAACGAAAGAAGCGGGATAGTCGGCTCTCAGGTCCTTGAGCCATTCGACGCGACCGTCTACGCCAGCGATGGACTTTGCCTGCTGGGGCGGACTCCGTGATCTTCCAAGATCATCCAAGCACAGCACAGGAAGCATCCAAACGCCCCGCCCAACATTGAAGCCAAAGCTTGGTAGACACGGGGAGATGTCGAACTCCCAAGTGCTGTTCTGGATGTTCTTTGGTAGGTCTATTGAAGTCTCTTCCGGATCAAGGGCCTTGAGTTTGCTTTTAAACACATTTATCTCTTCTGCAAATGAACAGTTTGGTGGCTTTGCCAAAGGCAAATCTGAATAGAAGACGAAGGAAGGGATCCTTCAAAAGTCCTAGGAACCGACGGGAACCGAGACGTTTCATCTCCACACAATTTTCACATCATTTCACCCCAAAAGAAGAACAAACGTCACATGGGAAGGTGGAAGCGCCTGGAAGCGCCGGCCATTCGGCGACGGTTGGATCAAGGAGCCACGGCTTTTTCGAAGGATTCTTGGTGCCTCAGGGGACGAAGAGCTCGATCACCACCTGTGGAGTTCGGTTTCTCTTTGAAAAGAGGCAGTGGAAGGGTCGAACACAAACACCCCAGGGGTGTGTTCGAGAAAGGTTTCAGATGCTTAAAGAGTTGAAACGAAAAAAAAATGAAACGAAAGAACAAGTGACTATCCCAGTGGAAAGAAAGGCTGACGAGGAGATCCGTTCGCATCCTCTCCACTTCTTGCTCAGCAAGCTATCCCAAATGAAGTTTCTTGGACCACAATGAAACCATCCCTGGAGTTTAGCTGCCTCGACAACGCACTGGGTGGGTTGAGGTATGTTGAGGTGATTCTTCCTTCCTCTTCCCACAAACGGGTACGATTGTGTGCGTGCTTGCACCGACTGACAAACAAACTGCTACAAACGCGGGGCTGAGGCGATTGAGCCGCGTGCTGTCACATGCTGCAGCTCATCCGTTCCAACTGTGGCCCATGAACAACTACAGCACACTATAACAGTGAAATCACCCTGCTGTGTTTAGGCGAGATGGGCCTGGGCAAAGGTTTGAGCTACAACGCGGATCCGCCATCTTGCAATGTTTCGCCATTAGCATGTTGACCCAAAGCCTCCGCAAAGAAGGAACAAAGGCCAAAGAAGAATGCCGGTGACAATGATGATCCTTGAAAGTCGGTTCCCACAACCCATGTTCCGCACGTTCCTGTTCTCTGACAAAGAAAGCATAGTCCTGTCGACCATCCTGTTGTTCTTTTTGGGGTGGAGCCCTCAAGACAGACTGAATCTGCCAAAGCAAGCAAAATTTGCTCCAAATGTCCTGGGTTTCATGGTGCGGTTTTCAGGGAGAAAGTGGACACCCTCTCGTTTGAAACTCTTGTCCGTGTCTCGACGAAAGTCGACACGCCACGCCAAACTCCGCGACTCGTCCTTTTTGCAAAACATGGACATGGCTTGGGCCAGCTCCACAAGTCGCACTGAGATGCACTGAGTGTTCCTTGAAAAAAGAATATAGGCATGTCACTGGGCGTGGAAAAGCGCTAAGCTGAGCGACTCCCAACCAGGGCGAGATCGTCGCTCACACCACGCAGACGCACTCACAGGGCCCCACTGAGCAGTCCAGTGAGCGCGGCCGCGCGGCCGCGCGGCCCAAAGAACGCAGCTCAACGTTTGCTTTAAAGGAACACATTTTGTCACAAGTTTTGACAGGTCTGGGATCCAAAGGCGGCTGTTCTGATTGATAGTTGGAATGTTGCTCCAAAGCCAAGTGAAGTGATGGCAACAAAAGGGAATATCAACAATTCAAGCGCTCAAGCCTTTCAGTCATAGCGTTTATCAATGTTAATCTGTTATATAATCATTTGAAACAAACAAAACATCCGTAGGAGTCTGGAAGCCCTTCACGGACCGTGGATGGTCAAAGCGGCTCTCACACTCTGGGCAAACAGTTATTGTAAACAAAGCATGGAGGACAGTGAGAGCATTGTATTTGTTGATGTGGTTGTTGTGATTGGGGTGCAAGCAACAACGACGGGACACCCTGTCAAGATGTCGGAGCGGGGCCAGGGCTCCTTGCTGACAGTTTTCTGTTTGTACCTTGCTGTGATTGTTGTTATTGTTGTCGTCGTCGATAAAGAACTTCCATGAGTACAAGCGAAAATGAGTGACTTTTGAAAGGCCACACACACACAAAAAGAAAGAAACAACTCCTTATACAGTATAGGCAGTAGACCAAAGGATGGTGTTAACAAAGTCGGAGTGGCTTACTATCCTGCAGAAACAATACTCCACTGAAAGGCCTCTACTATCCTGCAATTCAACTGCAATAAATATATTCAATATTCAACTGCAATATTTAGATATTCAATCTGCAATATAACTATCCAAGCAATATTCAACTGCAATAAATGTAGTTTAGACATTGAGCTGCTTTCTTTACAGTCACTTGGCTTCGCCAATGACCTCGTCGTGCAACACCAGGAACTCTGGGCAAAGGATGATACCAACAACTCACGTGGAAGCTGTATTCTCTTCCAACGCTCTCCCAGCGATTCACCCAAGGTAATTACTGAATCCACAGGATGCCTTGCCCAGCCCTGGCAAGCGACATCGGCCATAAGCCGCATATGTTTGGCCCAGCCAAAGTCGCAAAGGCAACGCAAAATTCTCTTTCTTGAGAGAAACATGATTTCAGCAACATGACGAAGTATCATGAAGTGCGAACAGGCTGAAATGCAGACTTACTTTCTGGGCCTCCAGTTGAGACTGAGCCCACGTTGCCTTCACAACATGTGCATTATCAAGACCCTAGCTAATCGCCAAGCCCGCGCGCTGCTATGCGAGCGTGGAGCAATGCGGCATCAACTGACGAATTCCAGAAGCATGAGAAGCTTCAAGATTTCAATGGTCGGAGTCAGCCTGACTTCTGGTATTTTGTCCAAGGAAGAAGCTCGAGGATTTGGCACTTGGTTGCTGGCACTCCATTTCAACGGCCTGGTTCGAAGTAGAACAAGTGATCAAGAGAATCTGCACTGGCCTTTCTGCACAGGGATGTTGGAAGTCTGACAAATGTCACGAGGAGAAGACTCACCTTCTTTAAACACTAGTGGGACTCGTGGCCATCGATTGAAGTCGGTCTTAAAGTCAACTTGGAGCAACATTGCACAGGGGATGGGATCTGATCGGGTCTGGTCCTGTGGAGAATGTTTGAGAACTCAGAGTAGGTCAATGCTCATCAGCATTATCGCCACAGTATGCCATAGTGGCACTATGTGGCACTACTGGTCAAAAAAGCAATGCTGCAGGCACCATGGGGAAGGGTGTACCTTCCCGTGTCCTGGAGAAGAAAGCAACATGGCATCACCCATCGTAATTTAGGCCACGAAAGAAAAAGTGGAGATGTTGGATAGTCCTGCAGGAGCAACTAGAAGCAGTCAAAATATGACTATCTATCACCATATATGTTGGTAGTGGCCTTTATTGAAGTTCACTTTGATTACGTGCGATGTTGATCTAGCTTAGATACATACTACCTCTTGATGTCTCTCCTCTCTGCAGGTAGGCTCGCTCAGAAAAAGGCTCACTCACGGTCTGGAGTCCGCAAAGGCTTCATGTCAAACTCATAACTATCAAGCGCAAAACGCCAAATAAAATACCTGGACGGGTGCACACACATGCAAGACAATCAAAACGGACATCCCAGCTGTTTTCGTACACATAGTCCAATACATGAGATTCAATAAGCCCTCCCAGATCTTTTTACACGCATAGCGTACTCCAATACTGCCAAGACTGTTGGACAACGTGCTGTGAATACTCTCCGCCAGTATCATCAACAAGCTACGTATTTGCTCCATGTACCTACCTTCATCATCTCAAATCGCTGTCAGTGAAGAGCCAATGCAGTGAAGAAAGAGCATCTCAATCTCAACATGTTTGGCCAACATCGCCCTTGTCTTCCTCCTATGTTTATATGAAACACAGAGAGGAACCTGGATCCTCACCGGTCCCGAGAGTCCGCATTCGGCCGCTCGGCATCACGAGTGGTTTCATTGGACAGGAAGTCCAGGTCTTGTCATGGCGTTCCTTGTTGAGCTGAAGTAAAGCAAGATAAGACATACCCTCTCAAGAGCCAAAGTAGAAACTGGTAGACCAACTTGGGTTGTGATTGAGGTATCATCTTCGAAAAGGTCGACAGGATAAGAGGATATAAGAGGTCGATAGGGGGTACCGCATTCGAACCCCTCAAAAACCTTCTAGGCATCGGAAGCAAGCCCTCTCACATTCCATTAATTGCTTCAACCCAAGCAGAACCAACTTGGTCATCTTGGCTGTGGGTCAATACCCACTACGCCAGCACTCTGCGGAACACGGTGTACAGGCGAGTGGTTTAGGTCTCATGGTTTGAGGCTCATAGCTGTACTCACATCGCATTCTCAGGTACACCAAGATCACCAGGAAGATCGTGAGCACCGCACTGGCCACGTAGGAGGCCACGATGGCAGTGAAGCCCCAAACGCCACGGAAGCACATGCCGTCGACAAAGTCCTGATACCTGGAAACTATCATTTGAACCTAAATCAAACTACCCCACCAAAAAAATAACAATAATGGAAGTGGAATACAGCCTGTTCGTAGAGGAAAACACTCTGCCTTTCGGGGCCATGTGTCCCCTTTCCATGTTTGTTGGATGGAGGGTATCTCTAAGAATGTACAGTGTTCATTATTTAACGATTCACCTTGTCTATCGATTTAAATTTAGGAATTCAGGCGTCCAATCTGGGAGGGGCCCACAATAAAGGTTCTAGAACGCTGGTCACCGGGCCAACCAGCCAAAAACCACAAACATGGTCACATCCATGCACTTGGTACTACCAGGTCATGGTTACCTGATACTGTAATTCAAACAAAAAACATGTCAGGATAATTCACACATGCTTGCCGAACATCATCTTCAGAGCAATTGCAGCAAGCTAAGCCTTTTAAAGGATCGCGGTTGGTCGAACTTGTGGGAAGGTGACAGCAGCATTCTGTGAAACAAGGCGTTTGGAATTCAAATGCGAACTCAACATGTTTGGTGGCTATTGATGGCTTCTAATTCAACTACAGTACAGTACCTGCATCTCTCTGTCCTTATTAATCTATTCCACTTTTATCTTCAGATCCTTTTGCCTTTCACACAAGATCTGTCTGCTTTTGCCACGTTGGGTCATCCGAATGTTTCACTTCATGCCTAAGACTCAGAATACCAATCCTGAGGTCTCTCAAAATGCCTGGGATGATCCCATCAATTCCTCCGCAAGAAGAGAGTGAGAGATGTCTGGACCCCACCTGAGTACCCCGCACAAGAAAGTCTTGTGGTTCCAAGGCCGTGGGTGAAAATCGTTTAGAACCTGACTAATATATATGTCATGTGGTTCGTTTTAGGACCGGAAGTGCCAGGCTTCAAAAAACTTCCATGATCAATGGCACAGTCCAAGACGTTGGCGAGATCAAGATCGCTCTGGCTTACAAACCATCGGCTCCGTATGGTTTCGTCCGTGCAGTTTGTTAGAGTGTGATGGTTCCTCCAGACTCGAGACAAGTCACCTCCAGACTGACCACATCCCAAAAGACCTCTCCTAAAAGCTGCTAGGGTGGAGGCCATTGCTATTAAAAGGTTGGAGGGCATTGCTACTAGCAACAAGTAGCTATTAGAAACAATAAGCTACTAGTAACAAGTGCATCGCTACTAGGAGCAAAGGGCCTTAGTACTAGTAACAAGTAGCTACTAATATCACCAAGTTCTTTCGCCCAGGTGCATTGTGGCCATAAAGCCACACGTGACCCCCTCGACCTCAGTCGAAAGAAGCAAAAGGAACGCACGTGACGCGGTCCTCGGTCCTCCCGGCAAAATGCAGCGAATGCAGCGTCAATTGGTACACTTAGGAAGATCTAGAAAGTACTGAACCATTTCCTATGAATTCGCTATTGCATGCACGCTGGGAAAAAACATGGACTTATCCAAGGAACACATGTTGCTCTTGGCTTTCACAAAATGACCCCACGAGTGGTCGCTCCATGTTGCTCCCTCTGGTCCATTGCAGAACTCCAAGTGTTACCCAAAGCCAGGGGTTCTACAAGGCAAGCTATGCTACTACGCTAAAGATTGAGGTGCAAGCACCTGCATCGAAGAGTGACTGACAGACTTGCTGGACACGTTTTTCAGCGAGACGAACCCCAGGGTATTTCGGTTCTCGACAAACCACCCCTACCGTTTGTGCAGCAGAGCTCCGTGCGACCGGAGCTCTGCGCCAGGCCTTCTGAGCCTCCGGGCCACATGTTCAATGGGCTGAAGCAAGTTCTCCTCGACCAAGGCCTCACCGGACCCGCGCGGTGTTCGACTCTGAGACATGTAGAAGTCCCTTCGAATCCATGGTGTGGTGAAACAACAGCTTGTAGTCTATATAGTGAGGTTGGACGAACATGTGTGAGAATCTGTTGATTTGGGTTCTGTCTCGTGTCTCAAGGATGACTTGAACCACAGTTCTCCAATCAGATTGGAGATTGGAACCCAAAGTGGCTCAACGGGCTTGAGCAAAGGCATACAAACCCAAATCCATCACAACCAAGTCACTCAAATCACAGTGGGTTCACGCCGCGGTGGGAATCTTGACGTCACGCGGTCGGGGGGACCATTGACGTCACGCAGCCCATATCTCATGTCATAGGATATATGTAAGTATTATGTCATATGCCATGTCATATGCCATGTCTCAGCTCATTTATAAGACATCACATCACATAAGACATCACATCATATCCACAGTGACATGTCCAAAGCCTACATGGCTATGACTCAGACATACCATCCAACACTCTGGGCAAAGGGATAACGTGATGAGTCAACCTGAGGATTTCTGGGTTGATAAATGTTTGACAAGCAGCCATATTATGGGCCTAGCTCAAAACAAAGGACCACCCGCATCCTGCTTCCCACAACTGGCCAGGGACATGCCATTTGAGGATGATTCGGGGGTCAAACTCAAACTAATATCCCAAACACTCCATGTATACTATATAATACTATATATGCCGCCCCATTGACCCCCCTGGCACCACCACCCCTGGCCTGATCGGTAAATATGCCAGTCCCAGTCGTGTCTGCTTCGATCGATCGGCCCGTGCGGTCCGTCCCCCGTGCGGTCCGTCCCCCGAGGTCTCCGAGACGAGAACCAGCCGGAACGTGAGGGATGCCACAAAGCTACGAACGTCATAAGCCCAGACACGACACGACCCGTCTGGGACTGGCATATTTACCGATCAGGCCAGGGGTGGTGGTGCCAGGGGGGTCAATGGGGCGGCATATATATGGTATACATGGAGTGTTTGGGAAGTATAATGCACGAACGAACAACGGCCACGTACCGATCAGCGTCTCCTTCATGTCGGTCGCAATGCTGGCCAGCACTGTCGCGGTCACTTCATCCAATCCTCGGCTTCTGCCAGGCCCATTTGGTGCGGGCTGCGCCCCACGGAGGTGCCAGTGAGATGGTTTTTTCAGAGCCCAATAATACTCGAACAGAAGCACGTCTCGCAAAACGGTTTGGGATGCGTCGTTGAGACTTCTGGCACATAGCGGCAACTCAGCCAAAAGCTAAATTGGTTGGGAGAGTAGCAAACAAACATCGGCTAGATCCAGCTGCGGAAACATCCTGCCAGCTTCGGTCTAGCAAGATCTGTTTCTTCGGAATGTCATAGACACTTCGAGAACAAAAACAGGCAGGCTCCCCCCAGAAAAAAAAAAACACGCATATAGTATAACCATGTTTGGTAGCTGGCATGAAACACACATTTTGGAGTCTCAAGGGCTGGTTCATGGGGATGAAGGGCATTTCCGACCCTCTGTCTACCCGATAGGGAGAGTGACAGTAAGACTGGGCTGCTCTGGTCAGAACTCTTAGTCATGCAACGAACCTAAAACGCTGCATTCGCGTGGCTACGACGGTCAGTGACACACAAATGGCATCGGTGCTTTTCAGAAATGGCCACCACTTAGTTCCCCCAGAAGTGAGGCCGTGAGCTACACCTGTTAAGTCACCCCCAAAAAAACACATAAAAAAGAGAACCCAAAAAATGTCTTTCAGTGGTCCCTCTTCATGATTCTATCTTTGACTCAACCGCTCCAGTCGACCTCCGCCAGACTCGCCTCCCGAATCGGTCGCTTGACTCGCTGCGCTGTGCCGGGAGGCGTTGCACGCTTCGGTTCAACTGCTTCGAGAAACTGGTGACCAGAGTGGCAAAGTCCTCGCGGGCGAAGCGGTGCTCTCGTGAAGTGAGAAGTGGTCGCCCCATTGGTCAGGATAGAGGTATAAAATGGTTGAAGTTCCAGAAAACAGACCAAAAACAACCACCTTGCGCAATCTCTTTGGATGAAGGAACTGCCTCAAACCATGGCTTCACCAGAACAACTGCCCACCAACGTCATTTGTTCCACGCAAAAGTCCACTGTGTTATAAGATCTTTACAAACGAACAACTTCATCCGAATGTGTCTGGATTCCTGTTTCCCCGCATGCTGACATGTCCCTCCCGACAGATTTGACAACACTGACATTGCAGGGTCGATCGCTTGTGTTCAAGTGTTAAAAACACACAAGTCAGTACATGCAAGTGAACGTAAGGACAGCGAAGGCTCGGCTGAGGCAAAAGCCAAGACTAAGAGTGGCAGGAAAACCACGCAGTCCTCCAGGTTGCAGTTGTACTCCATGGTTTCCAAGGTTCCATTCACGAAACAATCATTTTGGTAGATTCCACTCACCTCCATTCGACGCGCAACACAAGAGGCAAACTGTCACAACCAACGGCAAACTCCGGAATCTGAACCGAGTGAACGAAGTTTACAGAGTCCATGCAAATGATGCAAATTGCATTTCTTGCATCACCACCCCTCAAAAATCACCTCCAACACAACCTCAAAAAACCTTCCCTCGACGCACCCTCCTCCCCCGGCATGTGTCGAGTTTACGTGTACCTTTTGCGGGCCACCCCCCCCAGACCGCCTAACTACTCACTTCGTTCGCCAAACACAACTCCGCTGGCGCCTTCTACGAAGGCTGGCTTTCGTAACAGAAGCAAAGCAGATCTATAGCAGCTGCCCGGCAGAAAGTCTGTTGGTCTACACCCAACACATGAGATGTTGATAGAAGAAATGAAGTTGTTCATCAATATTAATCATTTGAGATCGATGTCATTGACTCCCTTTTTCAGGTTCTTTTGGCTCATATCATCGTATCAGATTCTTTTTGGCAACCCCATGATGAACCACCAGCAAGAAGCTACCAAAAGATCACAAATGACTCATCCAACACTTACCCATGACCATCGAAATCTCGGATCTCCCAATCGACCTGTCTGACGGGCACACCCTGTGCCTCAAACATGTTCTCGATGGTGCACTTGCTTCCATCGGAACCTCGAAAAGCTTTGCACTTGAAGGTCACTTCCGTCCGCAGGGCCTGCTTGATCTCCATATAGCCTTGTGCTACAAGAAGCGACCAAAATCCGAGTGAAATGATGAACTCGACTTGGGTGGGGCTGTTGGTCACCAATTACATGTATATAACATGTGTATATGTACATATATACATATTGCACAGCGGGCTGTGCAGTGCACACGCATGTGTATATAGTATTATTGTATATATATATATACATGAATTTATGTTACTATAAACTTGCTATACTATATTGAGATGTGATAAGCATAGAAACGATTGCCGATGCATTCTTAAAAGAGATTGGGTCTATCAACTTTGCTTGGCTCACATGCAACTACCCAATTGAAAATTGCCACGTAGTTCTAAGATGTCTAAAATTGAATCAACAAGCCTCGACTCTACTGGAGAGGGAGAGCAAAGAAGTCACTAGCGTCCGGTCTTCCTTCCATTTCCGTCCTCTACTCCTGACTTGTGCTCAGTAGGGAATGAGGGAATGAACCCCCACAAGAGATGCCTTAAGATCCATTTCCTTCTTCAGCCTACTAAGCACGAGTCTGACTCTCAGTGTCTTCATTCACCTCTCATGAAAAGCTCATCTTCCGGTCCAGCGCGTTCCGGGTCCAGGTCGGTGCCCAGCAGCTCTTGGCTGCTGTGCAAGCTTGATCTTGTAGCGCGTTCGCCCAAACGGTGCAATCCACCGACTTGGCACCTGATGGGCGTGGCTTCGGTATAGCGAACCAAATGGTGCCCTACCGAAACCCAAACACACACCGTCCCACATGCATGACGACTGCAGTGCAATGAATGGAAGATGTCTTTAACATGAATCCGAAAAGAAGCTGAACAAACTGGATAGCATGCATACCTTGACTCACATTCATGACAAACATCTAAGAGTCAGGTGGAAAGGCCCCAAGCAATTGCTGCGTGGTAACTCACCAAGAAACCAAACGTCATCCTGACAAAACACCTGGCTCCCACTAGCCCACGTAACCTGTTTCAACTTGACCAACTTCGGAACATCGGAACATCCGAATCCAACGTACTGCGGAGCGATGGCTTCGTCGCGGAGCTGGTGCCCCCCGTACGTCGCAGTCATGGCCTCCAACCTAATTCGCTATGGCCGTGCGGAGCTTCGGTCGTTACATGTGCTGTGCAGCACTTCCTGACTGGCGCTTAGTAGGGAATGAGAGAATGACCGCTCACGAGATACCATAGGATCATTCTTTACTAAGCACCAGTCAGCTTCTGTGAGGTTGATAGATGGGCCAGCGAGTCTGTTGGGAACCTCTCAGGCAGGGCATGAGATGCCCAGCCTAACATGACATGCTTTTCTGAGGTTCGTGTTCGCTTGGGCAAGGCATGGGCGATTGGAAGGACCATTCTCAAAGGATATCTAGATTCTTGTATGGCATTGTATGGGACCCAAATAGGCATGATCGATCCAATCACGGTTTCTCGACACACGGTAAAAGGGGGATGTATAGGAGGTATTCACATGGCTTTAGGTCATTCTTGGCAGCAATCCCCAAATCCTTGTCAAGCCACAATGTTTAAGAAACCTTTCTTGTTTTTGAGTTTCGGGAAAGCGTGCCATGAGGACCAAACAAGGTTGACATGCGCATGCAGAATCAAATCCAGCTCGTGGTGTTCAGCATCTGCCAAACGGTATTGCCGAACCAGGCACAAGTGGTACCCACTTGAGCGCCAGATGGACAACAGTAGTTGCTGAGGTTCGTGGCAAAGGACTCAATGCCTCAGCACCACTGGATACACCAAATTAACACCTGATGGGATGTCTGTTTCCCTTGCATTTGCATATCGAAGAAATGTGAAATCAGTGCCTCGATTTGTGCCGTCTCGTTGGCATACTTCTTGACATTGTCAAAGGGAGACTTTGGAGTTACAGAAACAATGGAAACAATATTAGGTAGTTTTACAGGTGTGTGTACATGTGTGTGTCGTCCTTGGAATCACACGGAGCCTTTTGGCTGTCGCTTTATTTTTTGTTTAAAGGCAGGGGGCACAAGCCCATCGTGGGTGGACACCTGTGCCGTCTCGAAGCTATTGCATGATGGGGCAAGCGGAGATTGTTGAGCTCCTGAGCTCCGTGTACCTGCTCTGCTGATGGTTTGTGGCGTTAATTGGCTGTATATAATGTTTTGGAACTATATGTGATCTTGGAAGTTTCGATGCTTGGATTAGGCTTCTGTGCTTGTGCCGAGGCTTCTTCAGGGCTTGGAGCAATCAAATCGAACGCATAATATCTCAAGTGTGTAATGTGTAACGACAAAAAGACCAAACGGAATCTCGACGGCTTCTTGCGTGCTAAAACAGTTCCGGGGGAACGCACGTACGGAAACGTCGTTTTGGGCGGAGAACGTAGGTGCAAGTGTGCTTCTTGAGCTCGCAAAAAGACTCAACGCTTTCAAGGGAGATGGATTCAGGACGGTCTCCGGCGAAAGGGAGTGCTTCGCTGCGAGGCTTGGTGGATGCTCGGTGCGGAAGGGGCCGGGGGCGCCGGAAGGGGCGAAGAGGCGAAGGTGACCAGCAGGGGCGGCATCATGGGGTGCGTGAGACATGACGCGCTTGGTGGAGATGTTCCAAGAAGTGAACCCCAAGGGGAGAGCATTGAAACGAGACAGCCTCCAAGAATCCAAGAAACATTTGAAGAAGTAGATATGTCTAGACTACAGACTATAGTATATCAGAAATTAGTTTGTAAAGAGGAGTATATAAGAGTCTCTGAAAGTAGAAAATTGAGATCTTCCAAGAATAAATAGAGATGTCTGGAGTCAGCAGCAATTTGATGTGCCAACTTCAGTTTTGGCAGGTTGAATGTGCATGTGCCGTTCGGGCCATAAGTTGAATGTAGCAAAGAGTTGCTGATCAGTTGTCAGCAAAGCAGGTGGGCTTGGCAAGTAACATCACAAGTAACATCAAACAGAACTGATTCTATGCACCACTCCACCACACAACACTGCATTACAAAACACTGCAACAACATAACAGAGTATCTCGAACACCCCCTTCCAGCACCTCACATGACATCAGGTCTAATATGGGCAGAAGCAGCCAACAAAAATATGGCACGCTTGGACATATTTCCTCAAACCAGAACCTTAAAGTTACCAGAACGTATTAAAGTAATACGACTCAAGTGGCCAGTGATTCTGCTTCTTCCTTTACCAACATCTGACTCCCTCAGTGTCCCTGCAAAATCAAGGTTAACCTTTTCCACCTGTTTGTATCATATAAGTTGGAAAAACAATCCCCAACAAAGGTGCCAGGTTGTCCACTGAGTGTGTAGGACATAGTGAGTGCTCTGTTCCTTTGGGAGGGCCGTTTTGCACTGTCCAAAGCCGTTCGCTTTCGCCCAGCGTCCATAATAAGAGGTCCCCTCGACGATAGTATCTGTGCATGCACCCGAGGTGTATAAAGACATATTGAGCTCCTCCACCAGGGTCATCCCAGCATAGGGCGCTATCTGGTCAGCCACCTTGGTGCGACGAACGTGCGGCAAGGGCAGTCAGGTCGTCCGCAGCACACAGGGCGCTTGGCAAGCTAAAGCATCCTGAAAGTCACGCCACCCTCGCAAGCTCTAGTATTAGATAGTATTTGTAACCCTGGGCCGTATCTTTGCACTATTTTTTGCAGGTCAATCATGAGGAGGGATCATTGAGTTGTAATAGAGGTGGTGGAGAAGGATAATTGGGCTGAATTTCAACGGATCTGGCATTCTGATTCTTTGAGTTTCACCGCATGGGCAAACTGCCCAAAGGCATGAGCCAAAGGCATGAGCCAAAGGCATGAGCGAGCATGAGCGAAAGTTGGGACTGGGACTGAGAATCAAGAGGAAGGCAATGGAATTGGCAATAGGACCGTAAGATGAGGAGGTGGTTAAACTGAAAGGGGCGAGGAAAGGGAACGGAATCGTGTCGGCTTGCATTGCAATAACATTGGGCAACAAAAAGTTCGAGCCAAACTTAATTATATTAGGTGGTTCATCGCGTACTCAGCTTAAAACTGGCCAAAAGTCTTTTTGAAAGGAAGTGGTTCGTGTGGTCTCAATCAAAATCCGAAGCCACGGGGATCATCATAGAATCGATGGAGAAGTTGCTGATGGTCTCAATTAACATCTTTATCGCATTGCTATCGCCCAGGCTTTCCACTCCTGACGACCAAAAACACAGCAGTGAAGGACATATCCAGACGTGTTCCAAGTGGTTTCTGGTCACTTGGCTCTGGAGTCTCTGGAGAGATAAACTTTCTCTACAGTCCCAAGCCCATGCTGTCGTTTTAGGTGGAGGCTGATAGTTCTTGGATCTCGCATCTCAGGCTTTCTTATCAACGACATTGTGTTGTTTCGTGGCATGCGAACATGTTTAGTAGGAAAGTTTGCACATTTGCACAAGTTTTTTCCCTAACAACCCAAGACTTTCGATACCAAACCCAAACACTCCAGGTTCTAAGTATATATATATGCCATTGAACCCAAGTCGTTCCATACCATACATCGAATTGAGTGTTGGACATAGAATCGAGTTGACAACCGATTCCCTCGGGACCTCTCGGGACTGCTGAACTGCCGCTGGAAGCAGCGGCTAGACGTGCTAAAAAACGGCGCTCCCCGCTCCGGAGACCATCGACTCGCTCTCCTGAACTCTGTGAGGAGCCCAATGCGTTGAATTGCTGCGTGATTTGGCTCGTCACCTCGCCCACAATCTTCCTGAAGATGCGAAGGCAAGGAGGATCGCACTGGCAGGAAGACTCTGAAAAGCTTGCCCAATCAGAAACCTTCTCTCCTTTGACCTTGGGTTGACTGAATTCCTCTATGCCTATAATCTACTATATCATGCATGAACATGTTCAAGAAGCAGCAGTAGGCCTGCTTGACGTGCGCTTTTCCACGTCTGCTTGCATCAAAGTGTCTCGTTCATGGTCACCATGGTCCCATTGCTGCTGGGCGTCTTGAGGATGTCCTCACAGCGGGCTGCAGCAATGCAACCTGGCCTCCAACCTAATAGGGATGGCCTCCAACCTAGTAGCAATTGGTTTGCCCCCTGAGACGGATCATTGCAAGGCACTGGGAGAGCCTCTTGCACATAAATCGTTGGAGCACCGGACACGTTGCATTATTTGGGCACCAAGTCCGTCTATAGCATCCCGTCGAGCTGAAGCCCTTGAATTTCGGGTGGCCCTTGAGAGAACAGGCGAGCTTGGTGGAGAACGTCAAGGGACCATGAGGCCAAGAGACCATGAGGCCAGGATTTCCTGGAATGTCAGGATTCACACAGTTCTCCACCAGGTCAATGGCGACACTCCCCACAGCACCTGCGTGGGAAAAGACGCGCTGAACGCGTTGGTTGCGGAGATGAGAGGGGCATCGGAAGAACAACACATGGAAGAACGCCAGTCGCTGGGACTGGACTAGTGATACTAGTGTCCTCCTACGCAAAAAAGGAACAATGTCGGGTATCCTATCGATCGACGTATAGGTAACTACCATCCAAACTCATGGGTCAAAGGACATCCAGACTTAAATCTGGGGGTTGCCATCCAAACATGTTCGGGAATGTAACCGATCTTTGGGCCTGCTTGAAGCAAGCGAAGCAAGCTCAGCTAGTTCAGTTCAACTTAGCACCCTACCAACTCATAGTGGCCTTGATACTCAATCACTCTTAGGACGCAATGAATTAGCCACGAATGAAGATCCGCTGGAGCATGGCAAACAAAACCGGATCGGATGTGAGCGGCTCGCTTCAATCGGTGTGGCTGCTGCCAACTCTGAACCGCAAAGCCGCAAAAAGCTTCATAGGTTTGAACTGGTGGCTGTTTGGAAACTGGCTTGTTGCACTGGTGTCTTCATCCGGTGTGAATAAAGACTTGTTGAATCTATCTGGATGACATTGGATGACCTACCCCCTGGGCCATGGTTGTCATGCCGAGATACCGCTGTTCCTACCGGTCCATTCGCAAGTCCACCATGTTGTTCCAAACTGGGCGACCCCCAGCGCCTGAGAGATTGACATTCGCCATGGCAGAGATATCCATGAGCAAATCACCATCCAAGTCGTCGAGGATCAAACCTCAGGCACTTTTATTGTATCACGTCCGCCCTGAAGATGGGAACAAAATGCCATTGAAATTCAGTGGGATAATCCTCTTGTCTCAGACCTGTCACACGACAGCAGCACATGTTTCGAGTCTTGAGAAAGCATAGAATGAATCGTAGCTGAAAGACACTCCGCCGCAAGGCCTACTGACTTAGACTAGACGTAAATTATGTGTATATATATATATACACAGGACCCTCCTGTCGGGGTGTCCTGGCTGAACTACCCCACACTACCGGCCTAGGCTTCCAAACAGGGCACCCCGACTGGAGGGTCCTGGTACACACATGTTTCTTTTTGTTCCCGAACACATCCAACACATCCTCGGTGAGTGGCTGGCTACAAAGACATGGACCGATCCAGTGCGACGTGCGACGCTCCTCAACGCCTGCAGCCAACGGGGCAAAAGCTGGCCAAGGGAACGGTGACCACGTTCAGCAAGCCACCGACCAAAAACCTGATTGAGATGCGATGTTTCTTCAAATATGTTCACTGTAGGAAACCCACCGACCGGCCACACACAGCGTCACAGATCCAAGGTCACCTGGCATATCAGCATGTGGACCAGGAATGAGAACACAAACAATTCAGGCTTCATTTCACGGTGAACTTCTACTTTCTGCTTCAATGATCCCACTGAAGTGAGCTTTAACATGCTTAACCTCCTGACCGTGCGCGCTCCTCGAGCACTGTCTGATCCAAGTAACGCCAAGAAGAGGTACCAGCAGCCGCAGCACCAAGTACAGCAGGCACAGCGATGAACTCTGGCTTTGGGGTTGCCTCAAAAGGAACACCCTCTGGCACAGCGCGAGACATGACCGCGCCCAGTTTTGATTCGATCGGCTCGTTCGATCGGATCGTTCCAACAAGTGAATCGACCGCATCCGCATGCCCGAGATCAACGGGTGAGAAACCAATGACCCGGTGTCAGTGACCAAAGAGTTGGGCAAACTTGACATCGCAGGCGTAGAAGAATCAGTTGGTAGGTGATCAGCAGTTTGTCCCGTGGGTCTGAGTTCAAATCTTGGGAAAAAGAGAACACTGAGGCTTCCAGGTGTCAAGCATCGTGGATTTGGAGTGCTTTTTTTCTGCCCGGCCACGGACGCCCCGAGCCTTGGCCAGAACAACACCAGCAAAGGACAGAAAGGATTCCACAAAGATTCAGCCTCAGAGCCCCGAGAAAGAAGCCCTTCTTTCTTTTAGAGACTGGATCGTTTGAAAAATGAGCATTCTCCGGATGAATTCAATTGTCCAGGTCGTCCACTTTCATGCCTTTTTTGGAGAAAGGGTGAAGATTGAGGCTGATTTCACAGGGTCTTCCACTTTGGGGTGATTGTGTAACTCACTATCACTGTACTCCCTGGTATCACAGCCAAGAGGTCCTTCACCTAATTTGTGGCTTTATGGACATCCAGTCATCATCTTGGCCCCACAACTCTCAAGTCTTAGCTTCTTGCTACTAGTATCTACTAGTCGTAATGCCAGGAGCGCCCCGTTCGGTCCGCGTCCGATCGCACCGGTGACTAGTCGTCCTGAACATGTCGATGTGAGCGTCCGGACGGATGTCTGGTTCCAAAAGTTGGGTCCATGGGGGATAACAGCAATCCCTCTAGATCCACTGCCACCCTCCAAGGTGGTGAAGAAGGAGACTCTTTGATGTAGGTGTCAGGAATATCCAGTCGGACCTTAGATGTGGATCTCTAGGGAATGGATTGATCTGCTTGCTTCTGCTTCTGGGAGCACTTGATCATCCCCACACATGCCATGCCCACAAGCTGGGCGTGTCTGGATGGCGTTGATCCCCCAAATCCACTGACAGTCCAAGACATCAAAGGAGACGCCAAACGCGAAGAATTCTCGATCTCCTGAATCCAACTTGAAGAACTTGGAAGTCTCCTACTGTGGATGTTCCACCCCAGACACGACCCGTCTGGGACTGCCAGTTCGGACTGCCGATGGGGTCTGTCTGGGGCGGCATATATGGCAGTCCCATGGAAAACATGTGTGCGCTCCGCTCGTTGAGTCCATGTTCCATGGACACTCCCGTTTCCCGGCTGAAGCCCACGTAGACGGCTGTGACCACCGTGGTTTCGAGGTGAAAGCTCGGATCAACCCCACCAGCATGGAACCCTAACATGAAGAATGATGTAGTATGATGCAGTCAAACCAATCCATTAAACCGACTTCCAATAGAACAAACTTTACCTGTTGACTTAGTACGCGCTTGTGGGTGTGTGACGCGCACCTCCTGCTCACCAAGGTGGCAGTAATGCCAAGGCAGCAAAACTTGCTGCAACGGCCATTCCAGCCGTGTCCATCCTAAGTGCAACCGTTCTTTGGTGATCACTTCAATGAGGCATATGATTCATATCATATGATTCATATCAGGCATTTCCACAGCACAAGCTTTGCTGTATCAACCCTTACTTGGTACACTCTGAAAGACTCTCAGTGGGTACTCAAACCTTCAAGGATACCCTGTCTTCTTGTTTGCTTCTCGGGTTCAAACTAAACTCAGACGTGCCTCTGCTCATCCCTTGTTGCTCAAACATGAGCTGCTCCGAAACCCAAAACCGCTTCCACTTCTCCTGCCACTTCACCGGCTTCAGTGCCGCTCAGCTGCTGCTCTCTGGCCACATCCAGCACATCGGCTTCAATCAATGGTCGAAAGAACCCACCCAGCGTCTCCTTCGGACGAGAACACGCGATCCGATCGGAAGATCAAATCTAGAGAATTGCTCAATGAATCTGCTCAGCACCCAGGTTGGGCTGGTGAAAATAGCCTTTGTGACCATGTGTTTACCATCCAAACACCATCCAAACACCAAAGTGATGCTGTTTTCAGGATCTTTTGCGACATCTGGCATGAAGATCATGGCCACACTGGGTCACTGGGTGTATCCACGGTGTATCCCAGGTAGCAGCCAAGCAATGGACATTCTGGGTTTTGTGTGAAAGACAGGCCGTCTGCAGAAGCATCTTGAACACAAGTTCACCAAGCACATCATGTGAACCACTCAAATAAAAATGACATGACCATCTGTCTCCATGAAGCTCCTTGAAGGTTTGGATCGGCTCACTGAAAGCCGTCATGCTACTGCGCAGCTCCTTCATCGGTCGACTCGACCGACGACGAAACGCGACCTGCGACCGCCCCATCCAGTATTGTAAATGGATGCAAACAGGAAGGGACAAGGACAAAACACACGCAAATTGGGGAAAGCAGGCACAAGCATATCATTCTTGGCCATTTTTTAGGGTGATCCCCAGATATACATTTCACAGATAGAATGGACTACGACATTTGGAAGGCCCACCTACTTAGGTGTTGATACACTGCCAAACAAATTATTTGTTATCGTCTTATAGTAATGTTGTAGTTAAAATGTGTATATATTATATGAGTATGTTTTTTGGCTTTCGAAATGGTGATGGACCCTCATCTGATGAGTACCTGTGCTTTCGCTCTGATGAGGAGCACAAAGATCCTGATCTTTGCTATAGCTGCTATGATACAGGGCATGCTGGAAAACAACAAAACAACTTCAATTTGTCTACTTTCGTACCTCAAAAGGAGACACTGGATGATTAAATAATTTGAGTACTTGGAGCTCTCCCGTCATTGCGCTGCATCTTCAGATTCCCGAAGGCTCCCGCAAATAATACAAATTCAAGACATTCCAAGACTTGAAATATCTTGAAATGAGCAACTTTTTCTTCAGTGCATCCTTGTTGATCCTAATTGATGTATTGTGTTCGTTTCATTTTATTTCTGACCTCACGTGTTCGGTGAGTGAGGGAGAACTCTGCCGAGAGATGTCTGTCACTTGTGTTCGATGGTGATGTTGGTTCAAATCCAGGCTTTGTTGTTTGCGCAAGCAGCATCGTAGACTTTTCAGAGTGTGTCTTGCAAACAATTCGTTCGCGTGGATCCAATATGCAAAATAATTCCAGGTGGACATGCTAGGTAAACGATCTTGGATGATCTTGGTGTCTAAAGGGCTAAGGTCTTGATCCAACGCCCACAATTGGAATTGTCACTCCAACATACCTTGCTGAAGCCGTCCTGAAGCTTTTCGCCCGAAAGCTGCGCTTCCACCTGTCGCTTGCAGCCAACACACAAAGCTGTAAGGTATGGCTCGGTCTGCTGGATCTCATGAATCAAATCTTTACTGTTGATTAACCCCCCCAAGCCCTTGGTGATGTAAAACCATCTTGGAGACTATAGGGGTTTCTATGTTCAGTTCACATTCGTGGTATTTCGTGGCCCCAAAGCCCTCTGAACATCGTCAATTTTCCAACCTCCGCTTTTGGCTGAGCCTCACCCTCCCCCACCCAAAGCACCCGGACCGCTCCGACCACCCCGCCACAGGCGGCGTGGCGGCGCTCGGCTCGGCCTCGGCTCTCACCATCTCCAGGGCCTGTCCCACGCTGCCGTCGAGGGTCTCGACGGCGGGGCTCAGGGCACCTGGAGAGCAAAGCACTTGCAGGGGCGGAGCCCCTGAGGTCGTAAGGCCACTGCAGGAGCGGAGCTCCAGTCAGTCACTTGCAGGAGCGGAGCGGAGCTTCTTCCTAGCAGTTGGAGAACCCGCAGTTCGAACCTGGTCACAACTGGATCAGCTGGAAGTTTGGAAGTCTCTAGTGGCAAAGACTTCAGCCACTTCTCCATCTCAACTGCCGGTCGGCACGAGAATTGCAGGACTCTGACAAATGCAAGACGCGCACCTGCGCAAACCAACGAACCTAAACCTTCAGAATCAAGGACCCTCACAGGTGATTCGGTTTTGAGGCTCACCCCTGCTATGCCATACAGGGTCCAAACCCTCCAGTTCCGGGGACCGTCCGCGCGCTTCGACACTCGTGGCCACTCACACCTCGACCGTCACCACCGACACACCGAGTGCCGCTTCGGTCGAGGCGGTCGACCACACGGTCGGTAGCACCGACCCCAAGGAGTGCATTTAGAGGAGTGCGTTTTGACACCTCATGGTCCTGCCGGTCGTCTGTGGCTGGGTATGTGGTGGCTGTCGGGGCAATGCAGATCCGAACAAAGAGCTGCAGCACAGGACAGCGACAGGGTATTAGGCAATTTGCAAGACATCACCAAGTGAAGAACAATAAGGAACAGGAATCAGGATCTGCGCGTGCATCCCACCACTTCATTCGGATAACTTTTCTGATGTCCAGCTGAGCTGTTTACACTTTGCCTGAAAGAACTTGCTGCTGCTCCCCCC